AAAACGTCAAAAACTACGTAAAATGAGGTTTACCTGTATTATCTAAGGTATCTATTTCTCCAAATTAGACAAGAAAGACTGTTTGAGGTTTTATTACTAGAATGATAATATGACTGGATCGATCGGACAAGCCTTTCATCTATATGGGATGTATGTGATAATGAAATTTCTTCTGTCAAACAACTTAAACAACATTACACATCTATTCATAAATCTTCAAATAATAAATTTCACTAAAGTACAATGTGAGCGAATGTGTGTACTACCCGGATCGCTACTGAACATGTTCGGTCAGCGAGCAGTTCGTTACCAAAAGTTTAAAAAAAGTAGTTTGTCAAAGCTAAGAATACGAGAGCGAAAAAACACGTGAAAAAATCTCTGTAAAACAGAAAAAATGATGAAGATTACACCAAACAAAGCAGCAGCCATGATTACGCCGTAGCCGCAGGTAGACATGTAAAGAAAAGCTTGAATTAGAGCAGCAACTTTATGTTTGTTTCATTCCAGGAAGTTCAAAGTACCTTTAGTTTCCATTATATCTTATTTACTCTTTAACTAAAGCATACTTTACTAATGTGACCTCTGGAGCAGATTGATTTACTTTGTTTTCATGCAAAAATGCATTTCCTCACTGTGCAAATAAAGTAGACAGAAAGTTGCAGCCCTCATTCGAATGTATCTTTACAATGTTTATGGTACTTCGTCCTAATAGTTCCTTAACAGAGCGCTCGCCGATATCTCCGATGAGAAAAATATAAACTATCGTATTTGCAATCTTCGTCCAAACACTTTCGGTCGCATCAAGTTTCCAGGTCAAAGTGAGTGCATGCCTAGTTTGATTGCATTATATGTCATGTACTTTATATTCACAAAAATCTTTTTGTTCTTTATCAACTTGATTCACCTTTATTTTTGAGAACAATTAAGGAGGGAGAGGGAGGTAAATATGACTAGGATTATACAACATTTTCTGTGAACGTGGTAGTAGGCTAACTGGAAACTCCCTAATTATATGTTTTCAGGTACATATGACGTAGTCTGAAGTTGTAGGGATGAAAAGTTCCAGAAACGCATATAAAGTGCTAGATATTTTTTATTATTTTCGAAAAGCATAGAATCTAAAAGATAACTAGCTCTAGACAAATTTTGGAGATTTCGACAATATTCCAAAACAGAATATTCTCCCACCCCTCATCTGTTTTTATTCACGGATAATATTTAAACTACATTAACATGATAAACATTCTGATGCTTTTGCTCGAATATCTAAAATTTTTAAACATTCTACATGAACTGAGTTTCAATGTTGAACTGTTTTGCATTCTAACATATCATCACTTTTTACATACAATTCATCACATAAAACACAATCGTTTTAACAAAACTACTTTTAATTGACTATTGGATTAAATCAGATATTCTGCGTTATCGAAAATCATCGCATATTCAATACCTACAATAAATTCTTTACATGGACAATAATTTATAAACCAGACTTTTCATTAAATACGACAGCCGCTGTTGGAGCAGTTTTTGAAACATATTCATTAAACTAAAAGGAACATGTGGGTTCGTCATATAGAAGCAGATTTCAGTGTTTCGACGATTACAGATGATCAGTACTGAAACATTTGAATTTCTATTCCACATTAAATTGAATCTCTATTCCAAGATTAAATTTTAGTTGTTAGTTCTTTTCATTTAAATTTGAGCTACAGTCTATGGAATAAAGTTTGAGATGAAGTCTATGGAATGTCAAATATGAACCACACCTATATCGTGATTTAAAGTATGACTGAGACCAATTGCCAAATCGGAAAGATAAAATCCACGTTATTGAGCTATATTTGTTTGTCTTTTTCATGAAAAGGGGATAGAATACATAATTTTATACATAATGAATATACAATGCGTGAGGTGAAGAATAAATACTTCTTACCAGTGAGAGGATCTGTGGTTTCCAAGATAGTAGCCCGGAACGTCGAAAATGGTCTAATTAATTATCGATAGAATACCCATCTAGGATCTGTAAAAGGACATTTCTACATGAGTGAGACAATTTTTTTATCTGTTTTCGATATTTAAAATGGCAATATGGTAATGCTTAAAAGTGGCAATTATTTATGATAAAAAGTAAACAGTTTATCATGTCCATTTTAAGATGATTATTGCACTATTACGGGCTGTTCTATTTTTTGAACGTTTTCTAACGTCCGATTTCTTTCTGACTGCGTTCAAAACGTTTCAATTTCTGGTTCTTTAGGCCATGGTACTATAGTTAGCACCAGTTCCAGAACTAGAGGCTACCATATTGAAACAAGTTTCGATGGCTTGTTTAATCGAAAAAGAAAAAATTTCTAAGTTTTCTTGAATCAAAGGTGAACGATTTGTAGACAAATGATTAAAAACTGGCATATAACTAACTGCCAACTAAATTCTAGTTTTTTCCTGATATATTAACTGTTCGCAAATGAAATGTTAACGGCTGATGCCAGTACATACAGTTAAATTGTCTGTTTTTAGACCATGATTCGATAAAGTAAACAAAGGACAAAAACAATGACTTTTAACGGTTGTTTTCAACAGTTTGACAACCACTAAATGACAATTTTCGTTGAATTGAGATCTTGCCTGTTACAGCAATATTTGCCTGTCGGACAAGTGCTAAAGGACTGACTGTTGCTAAACATAGAAGAAAATCATGCTAGATACATGCAGTTTTGAAAAACTGTGAGAAAAAAATTTTCTTAAAATCTTGAGGTTCCCTCAAAGTGTCAAAAAACTTCTAGAAGCATTTCGAGAGACTGAGCTACAAGAATTGGTCCTTGTAGCCCTCTGGCATTTTTTATATACAAAAATAATATATAAGGTGTTAATAATTTCTGACTCACCCGACTATGTCCTTCGTTATCTCAATCAACATTTCATCTTAAGTTATTTTATCTCACATGGAAAGTTTCAATATACTCATGAATAAATTGATCATTTGTAATTGTTTGATGATCTTTTGCTTTACGATTAATTCAATTCTATTCCAAGTGTCTATCCTATCCTAAGTTACTCGTAATAAATAATCGTGCAAGAATTAAAATCACAGGCTCTTATGAACTATTAAACTTTTATTTTTAAGTTCATTTTATAAAAATGATATTCAAGAGTGGTTACCGCATATTTGTAATCAGACCGGCTGGTTGAACCGGTTGCCAATCTAGATCGGTTGAAACATTCTCAACCGGCCCCAACTCTGTGTTATCATGCCGATAGTCAAGTGAGTTGTAATCATCGAAACACATTGAAATATGTTTCTATACGATGAATCCGCATGTTCCTTCATGTTCAATCCGTATGTCATATAGTTTATTGAATACGTTTGCCAACAACGGTTGTTGTTGAGTTTTTAATTCATTCTGTATTCATAGAGAAACGTATAAACGAGCCATAGTAGGAATACACGTTCAAAAAACAGTCCCACATCAGGAAATCCTAATAGGATCCTAGATGATTCTATGAAATAGTATAAAAAATCTTGAAATCGGAAATCGTGTCGGATTAAGTCACAGGATTCAATATAAAACCTACCAAATCATACCGTATCCTGTACAGAATTTCTACAAAATTCTACACCATTTCCCATTCCAAGACTCCTGGCTGCTTCTATGTGATCCTAGTAGGGTTTCAGATAATGCTAATAGGATCCTATGAGATCCTATTATGGGATTCTTTGCCCTGGGGCGCTGTTGTGTGAGACGGTTAAGGATGAGCGACATCTGCTAGTTTAAGAATTTGTTGAAGAATCTCTTTGTAAGAAATATTAGCCTTTAGGTAGTCTGAAACTACTCGTCTTTTTTGTCTCAGTAATCAATTCTCCACCTATAATCAAAATTAGTTTGTATTTGGCCAAATGTTTTGCCAATAGTTGTAATGCACAGGCAAATAAGAGAGGAGAATTTGACATGAGAGAGCAATTATAGAATAATTTTGTTTATTGATCTCTTGTCTCTCTTCAGATCTTCTGTGATGACAGAGGGATTGTTCTGCAAAGTTTCAATAAATAATAATTGAAGCTTCCTTGGTTATGCTAGAACAGTCGATCAGAATCACTGAAAAACATGACCAAGTGCGAAAATATGAAAACTTGTACATTCAAAATAACCAACAGGATCTTATGGCTAATAAGTGTTTAATAGTTCTGAGTGCATTCTTAAGTGTAAGTTGGTTGTGAATTTAAAAGGTATAAAAATGTTGCTACCTTGTTCTTATTGTTTACATATCTACCATACAGTTATTCCTTGATTAATCTGCTAATATCCTATTTGCTTTGCGCCAACCCTTTTTCCTTTTCTTTTTCCTTTTTTACTACTTCTGGTCCTAATGTTGTCTTCTTTATTCTGTTCTTTTTTTACTCTTTTGATGTTGCTTGGCTTGAGTCATTGTTATTACAGGTCGATTACCTTTGATGACTCACACTTTTCGTGAATAAAACAGTCTTAGTCTTAGTCCCTTTGCATATGTATTGACATATCTGATTCTATCCTGTAGTTCAAATGCTTTTTCGCTATTGGCACATTTATATTTATTTTTACTGGCTCTACTCGTGATTTCCATTAATTTTGGTTGCACTTCATATTCCGAACTCGAAAATGCTTTGCTTCAACGTGTGCTGCTACTTGAATCCAATATTTCTCTTTAAAGCAACAAAAAACAAAATAGTATTCAAATATAAAACAATAAACTAGTAGAGAAAACTAGAGTTTCTAGCCTTTTACCTTTAAAAATGATCAGAAAAGTATTTTATTTTGAAGAAGGAATTACGTTTTAACCATCAACACAATTGTAGATTACTCAGAAATTCATCTTAGGAAAAACTAAGTAGTCAATGTATAGTAAAACAAAATTTACACATTCAAATCTATTTTATCAAGTGAATTTTCGAACTGGAGGCATTCATTTAATTGCAGATCCAATTTTAAAAGCTATCCAGTTTTTTATTCTATTTTCAGATGGAGAGGTCTCAGCTACAAACAGATGTTACGAAACAAGTAACAACAATAACCACATCTGTACCATCAGTCACTACTAAAAAGTCGTCTCGTACTAAAACTTTCTCCACTTCTCAATCTTCTGCAAATCAATTATTATCTCCAACTGGCCTAGCATCATTAATCAGTTTTATCGTTTTAACATGTGCTTACATATCCGGTTTCATGTCACGGCTTTTCTCTGTCATCCGTTTTGAATCGATAATTCATGAATTTGATCCATGGTTCAATTATCGTGCTACCCATTATATGGTTGAAAATGGATTTTATAATTTTTTAAATTGGTTTGACGAACGAGCATGGTATCCTCTAGGAAGAATTGTCGGTGGAACAGTCTATCCAGGTCTCATGGTTACAAGCGGTGTAATACATTGGTTATTGCATATGATTAATATTCCAATACATATTCGAGAAATATGTGTATTTTTAGCACCATTTTTCAGTGGACTCACAGCATTAGCCACATATTTATTAACAAAAGAATTATGGTCGAAATCAGCCGGATTATTTGCAGCTGCTTTCATTGCTGTTGCGCCAGGTTATAGTTCACGATCAGTAGCTGGTTCATATGATAATGAAGGTAACAGGTAAAATATCTCTACAAAATTACTTCTATTTTATTTTTTATTTTCATTTTAGGCATAGCCATATTTGCTCTCATGTTTACCTATTTTTTGTGGATAAAATCAGTGAAAACGGGGAGCATCTTTTGGTCATGTTTTACGGCAATATCCTATTTTTATATGGTATCTGCATGGGGTGGTTATGTATTTATTATCAACTTGATACCAGTACACGCGTTTATGTTAATTGTTCTTAAACGTTATTCATTACGTTTATACGTTTCATATTCAATATTTTTTATTATTGGTCTTATTTTATCTATGCAAATACCATTTGTTGGATTTCAACCAGTGAGAACATCTGAACATATGTTAGCTGCTGGCGTTTTTGCATTGATACAAGCCTATGGATTCATTGATTATTTATATACAAAATTACCACGTGCAAACGATTTAAAACAATTATTTTTCGGCCTTATTCTAGCTGTTGGCGCACTAGTATTTTCCGTTGTTGTTATCTTAACTTACACAGGGTATGCTACAAAGAAAAACAAAATTAGTTAAAAGATAACGTATACATTCACATGTTTATCTCTTTTAGGTATATCGCACCATGGAGTGGTCGATTTTATTCATTGTGGGATACAAATTATGCTAAAATACATATTCCAATTATAGCCAGTGTTAGTGAACATCAACCAACAACTTGGGCATCATTTTTCTTTGATTTACATTTATTAATATGTTTATTTCCTGTCGGAGCGTGGTTCTGTATTAAAGAATTAAATGATGAACGAGTATTTATTGTTCTCTATGCCGTATTTGCATCCTATTTTGCCGGTGTCATGATTCGTTTAATGTTAACACTTACACCATGTGTCTGTGTATTAGGTAAGATGGAAATAAAAAACATTTGTTGTATCTGGTAAATAAGTTGTTGACTCCTTGTTTATTAGCTTTCTTATTAAGGACTAGAAACATAAGGTAGGTAGATTAGTATTGGCTACTTAAGATAAACAAGTATTGCAATTGGTTGACATTTTCAATAAAAATATGTGTAAAATTCAGATGTTTTTCTGTTAGCAATTTCGATTTGAATAATTCGTGGAGAAGAAATGTTTTTGAGTAATACTAGTATGTTTGTAGAATAAAACATTTTCGGTGGGCTTCGTTATTATAAATCTGCTGCTATAAAAATAACTTATAAAAAAGTTTGTGCGCAATAAGGAAAGGGAAGATCTTCACTAGGCAAAATTGCTATTTTCTGCTACTAAAAGCAACCATTCTTGTTTACATGATTCTCAATTTTGAGTTCAAAGTATACAACAATTCAGTTAAGTGTCCTCTGGGACCACTTTTAGTGCTCCATGGCCGTTCAGCGACGTACGCACGATTTCCCTAAGAGATAAACCAAATCTTTTCTCATTATATTGCTTTCTAAGCTTTTTTGCGGAGCCGTGAGGATTTCCTTTGCTTTTTTTCGAAGTTTTATTATAATAGTAAGTGATATCTTTATCACACGTTTATTATTATCTTTTACCTCTTAAAAACGCAAAATTTAAAATCTGAAAAAAGAATCCGTTTGTATGTCACTGTCCTAGCTTGAAGTATTATTGCGTATCTATGAAATAACAAATATTTCTACATACGTTCTTTTCATCAAACACAAATATGTATGCTTTTGAAGTCAGTTTTAGTATCGTTAGTAGTTTAAAAATAATCGCTTGAAAAACAGGGCAAAATATCGTATAAAATTGCATAAGCTACGAAAATCGTTGCCCTTAAATTCCACTAATTTTTCTTTTCGCCTTCAATCAAAAATATTTTTGTCAGTACAAATGTGAAATTAGAATTTCTAAAGAGCGGATCATTGTCCACTCTTGCTCCAGTGGTATGTATATCGCTGTACGTTGGCATGATAAAAAGAAAGATAACTGAACTTTTCATCTTAAAGTCTAAGTATCATTAACAATTAAGGTTATGATTGGCTCTTTATCAACATGCGCATTTAGTTAACATCTAATTGACAGTTTTCCCCGCTTACAGGGAAACATTTTTTCTAATTTTACGCTTTGTTTTGGTGCAAACTGTTTTTGATGTTCCCATCTCGACTTACAGGATTTTGTAAATGAAAACCCTGAGTTTTCTGGAGAAATTTACGTGTTTTCATTATAACTCTGCAACAAAGGGAGATAGAAAACGTTTCAAAAGCACAACCCTGAGATATATCCTAAGATCCGATCACGATCGAGCTTTTTCGTCTACAAGATATACGGATATGTGCTCCCGAAAGCTCCACCAGTCTGGGAGCGTGAAAAGTCCGAAAACTGTGTCTATTACCGAGCAATCAAGGTTTTAGTAGTCAGTGGATTCACTATTCGACGTAAATGAATTGAGGTGACCGTTGCTGACTTCCACTAGTTAAAAATTGCACTAAAGATATACTTGAAAAATATGACCATCAGTAACTTTCATATTTTTTCAGTAAAAATTCGTCATGCAAAATCTTGTGCAACATATGACTTAAAGCACAACGATTTTTTTTTTCGGTGTTCTAACTCTAGTACAAATCTCAATTCAATTCTGGTGATAGAAGAGAGAACATCATCGTGATTAATGTTATTTTTTACGCACAAATAATTAGACTAGTGACGTTCATGAGGCATAAATCAGCACGATATACTAGCGTAACACTTACTTATTCTATTTAGCTGCCATTGCATTGTCAAAAACATTGGATTATTATGCCGACGCGGACTCAAATGAGAATGATACTCCTGCTGTGACATCAGCCGATGATGGTAATGACACAAGTGAAAGCGAGGAAGATGCTAATAATGTTGAAATAACAACTCGACAGTTATATGATAAAGCGGGAAAACAAAAAACATCGTCAGTTACAACAGGCAATAGACATCATCGTCAACAATTACTAACAGCAACAACTGGTGCAACTGCAACAGATACGGCTGATGATACAAATATTATTGGATCTAACATAAAGACAATCGTCGTTATATGTATAGCAATGATGCTTATGCTATTGGCTGTTCATTGTACATGGGTAACTTCAAATGCTTATTCATCACCGTCAATTGTACTGGCAAGTTATAATCAAGATGGCTCAAGGTATATTATAGGTAAGTAGTCAAACATATTTCATTATTAGTACTTAAATTCTCAAACTCTAGTACTTTAGTATGTCACGGAGAAAAAAAGAGCTAAATATTGGTATTAAACGTAGCCTTCTCCACTTTTTATCGACAAAAATTTCGGGTTTTGAGCATAGCCTAATGTAGAGGAAAGTGTGGGCTACAAAATGAAACCATTCCCAGTACTCCACGACCTTTTTTCAAAACGTTATGCATTTTTGAAGTTTTTCCTCCAAAGTCTAAAAAACTCACTTTTTTTAGTTTCATAAATGTTTCTCTCGTTTTCTGTACATTCAAAACTTTTCCTACACATAGTCTGGTAGAAGAAAGTGTTTTCTTCACAATGAGACGTTTTACAGAATTTTCCGATAAGTTTTCGTGGAGATATAAGCGTTGCAGCAAATACCCTGAAAAAAGTGGTCTATGGTTCCAATCAGTTCTGAAAATATGAAGCCTTAGTGAGTTTTAGTTTCTATTTCACAGCATTTCTACGGGAAGCCCAAAATGAGGGGAGGGGTAGCCTTAATATGAGTTCAAGTGTCTTTTACTTTTTCTCTTTTATTTGATTTTTTCTAACGATTTGTTTACTGTCAGATGATTTTCGTGAAGCTTATTATTGGTTACGTAAAAATACACCGGATCGTTCTCGTGTAATGTCCTGGTGGGATTATGGTTATCAAATAGGTGAGTCAAAAATAGTATTTTATCATTTGCAAATGAGATGATTTATATATCATTTACTATTGTAGCTGGTATGGGCAATCGTACGACATTAGTTGATAATAATACATGGAATAATAGTCATATTGCATTAGTTGGTAAAGCTATGTCATCGAATGAAACGGAGGCATATAAAATTATGCGCATGTTAGACGTTGATTATGTTTTGGTGATATTTGGTGGTGTGATTGGATATTCGGGAGATGATATCAATAAATTTTTATGGATGGTACGAATTGCTGAAGGTGAACATCCAAAAGATATTCGTGAAAAGGATTATTTCACAGAAAATGATGAATTTCGTGTGGATTCAGCTGGTTCACCAATATTATTAAATTGTCTAATGTATAAACTATGTTATTATCGATTTGGTGAATTACAATCGGATTTTCGAACACCACCTGGGTAACTACATGCATTAGACCATTAAAAAAAAGGACTTAACCTATATGTATTTTTTTCAGTTTCGATCGTACACGTCACGCTGAAATTGGAAATAAAAATTTTGATTTAGAACATGTTGAAGAAGCGTACACTACCGAACATTGGATTGTGCGCATTTATAAAGTAAAAAATTTAAAAAATCGTTTACAAGCTAAAAATGCATTGAGACAAGTATTACGACGAAAATCAATATATTCACAAAAAAGTAGTAAATCGACACAGCGTAAAACAGGTGTCATTTTGAATAAACCACAAATAAAAAAAGGACAAGTGAAAGCAAAATCAATTAAAACGTAAATATGAAAACGTATTACTCATTCTAGTCATATGCAGATAATCGAGATCGAAATCAACGATGAGCAATTTTTAGTCAAACGAATTTTTTATATGTTTTGTTTTTTCTAAATGTGATGACGAACAGCTAGCAAGCACAAATGAGACAAAAAAATATAAGTCGACACAAAAGAAACAAATATTCTTGCATATTTTTGCGGAAATGCGGAAGGCTGTACTTTTTCTCGTTATGTTTAAATGTTTAAATTTTCCTTTGAAAATGTTCTTATTGCTGCATGTTGTGAGCTGTATAAATTTTTTCTGTTGAGCTTATTTATTCTTGTGCCTGCGTGTTGGATAAAACATTCTAGGATCTGCTGGACATTTGTTTTTGATAAAATGGATGTGTTTGTACTCGGGAGGGGGGAAGCGTATCACGAAAAAGCTTAAGTCAAAGTCTAGACTTAAGTCACACTTAAGTGTATAAAAATTAGCACGTAAGTGCACATAACGAAGGCTTAAGTCAGACTTAAGTTTTTTTGTGATACGGTCCCCTCCTGTCTCTCTGTGTTTTTTAGAACAATTTACTGTTGTTTATTTTTTATTTATTTCAGTTATTATTTAAAGTATCATTTTCTTCGCGTTTTGCGTTTATGCGTGTGTGACTTTAGGATATAAAAATACAAACAACCAAGTTGTTATTGTTTTCTTTTTCGTTGTTTCAGTTTATAAACTAAATAAATAAATGTCAGGCTGTTTTCATTAAAAGCCGAAAAGAGAGCAACAATTGATGACTGAGCATGAGGTCGGAAGAGTGAAAAGGCATGATATACTAACATGTAACAGCAAAAGTTCTCGTTCCTTTAAATGCCAGATAAAATGCTAGAAAATCTATTCTAAAAGTGGGGCTAAGTATGAGATTCATTTTACTGACATATAATGGAAAACGTACTTTTCTCTTTGGACAGAATGGAAGGCCCGGATCTCTTAATGTGACAACTACTTTAACTGTTTTTTAGATATTTCTGAAATAAAGCCGGTTTATTAGACAAAAAACGTTTACACGCACATAAGTAGTCTTTGCTTAAGTCGCATCTAAATGTATATCAGAAGATAGTTGCATTGATATTACCATTTTTATTTCAGAAATATCTAAAAAATAGTTAAAGGAGTTAAGAGTTCCGGGTCTTCTATTCTGTCCAAAGAGAAAAGTACTGTGTGAGAGAGAAATGTGTTGTATGAAGAGAACCGAAACAGATTTTTGAAAGACGAATCAGCCACTCAGTTGAAACACTTTAGTCAAGCTAAGTTACAATGACATCATATAAAGTAACAACAATACCATGTAATAAAATTTTGTCCTGTTTTTCTTTTATACCGCTCAGAAACATATAATCGCGTTAGAACGAGGAACATATAATATCTTTTATCGAGTAATTAAGATATCGAATCAAATTCATTTTCAAAGATCGAATTTTTGAGAGCACCAGAATGGATGCGCACATAACCGACATTTGCTTATCTTTTGATTATTAATGTTGAGATCTTTTCAATTTCTTGTAGCTCAGCTGCGGTTGAACAAGAATTTTATTTCATCTTTCAAAGTTTCAGTCACATAAATAATATGTTCTGCTGAAGTGTTCTACCTTGAGACAATGTATTTTAAACAAACGTGTGGAAATAAAAGCGAAGAAAGTTTTAGTTTTCATTGAACTGGCCCGAATTGAATCGAATCGAACCGAATCAGGAAATCCTGATTCGTTTCGCGCTCTGTTACGTATCAATGAATCAAGTTGGAAATAAACTTTTCGTTTCTCTTTTCCAGCTTGATCATACACATTCATACACCGATATAGAAATTTTTGTTTCTTTCTTTTCTTTGGTAATGTACCAAATGATTCCAAAGCAGAAAAACATGGCCATAATTGAAAGCGACCTTTACAACAACGAACAAAAGAGTAACGTCAAATCTGACGATAAAAGAGACGCACAAAAACAAAGCTAGGGATAATTCATATCAAGATTCCTCTTTTTTTTGAAATAAAAAGAAAGAGAACTTTGTAGATTTCAAAATGAAGTGAATGAAGTATAAAAAACTATTTGACTTGATTAAATAATAAAAAAGAGATCGGTATTTAGTCATCATACGCCTTATGTACGTTTAGCCTTTCTTTTCTCAGAATGTGTTCGTTTCACCCTAACCGATTTTTAGGCTTTTTGAGGTTGCTGAACGCCGTTCGTAAATGGCTTTGATCCATTTAGAGACACATTTTGTTCTTGTATAGTTGGATTTGCCTGATTGGATGATGCTGACCACTGGTTGAAAGGTGTATTACGAGGAGTATGCGGATGATTACTATTTTTTGGCGGATAATAGTAGGTTTTGTCATATTGTAGACATTGCGCTTTTCTGTGTCCGGGATGTCCGCACGTCCAGCACATTATTTCTCTTTGGTGCTGCTGAGACGCAACTCTTTGTTCCTTCTTTGGTGGTGGACGGGGCTCATTTGGAGCGTGAACATCGAATCTGTGCTCACCGATCCTGATGATTTTTTGCTTCAAAATCTCGTTGACGACTCTCAGAGTGTCGAAATTTGCTTGAAGGGCATCAGTAATCGTAAATCCGGTCTTGTCGACGAGGTAGTCGACGCTGACACAACCCACATACCGTTGACTAATCAGTTTTTGAACATAGTCAAGATCTAAATCTTGTGTTACCTTAATACCGTAGAATATAACCGACGCCATTTCGATAAGAAATAATGCTTTTACTTGCGTTTCATAGATATATATATCTGTGTACATAAGCAAATTTAGGAAGTAGGAGTGAGAGATATTTTTTCTGATTCTGTGTTATTACCCATTTCCTTGAAAACACTTCCGTTTTGATTCACTGGAAAGTCGTGTAGGTAAAGTGCGTTCTAAACGTACGTTCGAGTTGTGGGAATGAAAATTGACAGATATTGGCGAAATATCAAGTGACCGTTTCTTCTGATAAATCCGTTATATGAATATAAATGCCTGATTTCCAGAGTTTTCATCAAGATACATCATAACATTCTGATGTATCTAACTGTATCCTCATTTTTTAATACAGTTGGATATAGCCTTAATAAATCATCGACTGATAGGTATATCATGATATATCCAAGATGATGATACAGTTGGATATATCCGAAAATAAGTGCTAACGATTTTTACACCTTACTTTTTTTCATCTCGGATATATCCCACTATATCTTTTCTCAAAAAAAGTTTGATTGAGGTGCCAGTATTGTATTACAAATATGAAATCAAGAAATACTTGTCAGATGTCGTAAAACCTCAAGTTTTGAAAAATTCTCAGTGAATCTACAGTAACAGCAACAAATTTCGTGTACACCCTAATTTTTTTCTTTTGATTATAACTCGGTAATGAAAAAGCCTTTTGACAGACGGTTTGCATCAAAATATTGTCAGCTCTCCCTAGTGCATTCGGAAATCCTACTTTAAGCCAAATTGCTATATTGTTCAGTTTGACTGCTGAATCTCAGGAATGATTGGATGAAAAAAATTCTGATAAAACCATTTGAAAGAGGGTGGTTTTCCATTGTTTGTTAGTAAAATGAGCCTTCTAATTAGCCCCACGTTTAGAACAGATTTTCTAGCATTTTATCTGGCATTTAAAGAAACAGGAACTTTTGCTGTTACAAGTTAGTATATCATGCCTTTTCACACATTTCTGCGTATTAAGGGGGGAGGGTCGGTTTTTCCTATGAGTTTGTAGAGGACACTTTGAAGTATATATTTCAATACTTTTTTCGGGTACCGGTACTGGACCTGTCGTTTTTCAGAAAATAATTTTTTAAGTTTAGTCTCGGTTTTTGGCTCTATTTTTAAGTTTAATAAAATTTTCAGATTTCTATATATAACCTCGATTTTGATGTCAATCGATAGAGAACATCAGGATGTATCTGCAAAAAAGTCGATCAAGCTTTCACTGAGTTATTCCGCTGTGACCTGCCCGATGGCATTTTGGAGCAAGAAGTATTTTCAAAAACATCTTGAACCAAATTTCGTTCGAAGAAAGCATTTTCAAGGAAAAGTGTGGGTACGAAAGTTGTTCAAAATCAGATTCCCTGGAATATGAACGAAGGATTTTTCAAAATTCATTAAACTCGATTTTTAAATTGAAAAATAAGGTGTTAAAATTTTAAAATTTAGTATAATGTAATTTAAAAGTCCAGTTTAACGAATTTTGAACAGTCCCTCGTTCATCTGATCTGAATCTGATTCTCAACAACTTTCACACCCACACTTTTCCTTGAAAATGCTTCCTTCGAGTGAAATTTGGTTCAAGATGTTGTAAAAATATTTTCACTTAGCTAAAAATTAGAGAAATTTTTTAGTTTTGAATTTTTTTGTTAAATTTTCCTAGTTTGTAGAGGACACTTCGAAGTATACGTTCTGAAGTTTTTTCGGCTTACTGACATTGTTTGGCTGAGAAAAAAATTAATTACTTAAAAAAATGTTGTTAGATTTTTGAGCACGGGCCTGTTATAAAAAAATTCTAATGAATAAATTAGATTCTAAAACTCTTAAGCTAGTCAGTCTTGTAGCCCGTGAAACTCTCTATCAGGTGAGGTATTGCTTAAATGCTTTTGTTGAGTCCTTATTTTGCAAATGGGACTGTAAGCTAGTAGAGTAGGCTAAATTAACATTAATTAGTGCTAGTTAGTCAATAACAGGAAGAAAAGAGCGAAAATTTTGACATATTTTCTTTAAATATTCTCCACACATTTCTCTATCGATTTTGACAAGAACCAAGTTTTTATGATGAATGGAGAATGGACAGGAATTCTTTTAATAATAGTCCCTTGTTCAAAAACTTTACAATATTCTTTAAATTAATTTTTTTCTCAGCCAAATAATGTTAGTAAGCCGAGAAAACTTCAGGACATATAGTTCGAAGTATTTTCGAAGTTTGTTTCAAACTAAATCAACAACAAGTGATGAAGGATGACGCGGAAAGTAAAAAGAGTTTAATTAGTAATCCTCTAGTTATAAAGTTTGTGAATAGGAGCGTAGAGGACATTAACATCAAACGTCTTCTCAATACAAAGTCTATCAAAGAACTTCTGCCTAAAATCTTGAAAAATACAGATATTATGACTACGTATCAATTGACAAAACCGATTCGTAGTAAAATATTCAATTATCGCCAAACGGTTTCAGCTTTTAATATAGATTTTTTCCAGAAATCTACATGTGACTGTCGATTGTCAACATTCTGTGATGCTCAACATAAACATATCATCACTGGTGATTTAAGAATAGTGAAAAATAAACAACTACGCGAACTTCTCCGAAAAGGACCACAGTATCGTGAACTACAACCAACTAATTGGAAACATGCTTTTGAAAGTGTAAAAGAAGCTGTAGAAAATTATATTGATAAAGTTTCAAAAAAGGAAAAATTAGCTAAAATCTTATTTCGTGAATGGAAAACTGAACTATTACAGTTAGTTACAGATCGTATCAAACAATTAAGAAAACAACGAGTGAATTATCGAGCATATAGCTTATATAAACCAAAATTAAAACAACAATGTATTATAGATGAGTTGAAAGCTTTGCATGAGAAATATGTACTTGTACCGATTGATGAAGCTAGTAAAAACGTTGCTGTCATCTGCAAAAGGTTTTATTTAGAAAAAATTCTGGCAGAAATCGGGTATTATACTCCATCTGATACATATAAAATCGATGATAAGTTCGATCCATCAGAATTAATCGATTCACAATGTAAAGTGCTCAAAGAGGATTATAATATAGACGTTGCTGATAATATGAAAAAACTACCATTCATTTATTGGATCCCAAAATTTCATAAAAATCCAATTAAACAACGCTTTATAATCTCATCATCCTATTGCTGCACTAAAAAATTAGCTAAACTGCTCTGTTGTGCATTACGGTTAATGTATGAACAACAAATTAAATATTGTGACAATCTACTAATCAGAACAAAAATAAATCGATTTTGGATCATCGACAGCTCATCTCATGTATTAAAGCGAATTAAAGAGATTAATAAGAAAAGATCAGCTAGAAATATTGAAACATACGACTTTTCAACATTATATACAAGTATACCGCACGACCTGCTAATTGAAAGTATGAAATGGATAGCTAAGAAAAGTATCTTATCAAATAACACAGTGATACTAACCAATGGATGGTTCGCTACCTTCCAAAGTAACATCAATATTCAAAACAACAATAAGCACAAATATTATACAATAATTAGTAGAGAAACCTTCGGTCATATGATTAAATTTCTAGTTGAGAATAGTTATTTCACTCTAGGTAAGATTGTTGTTAAACAAACCATTGGAATACCAATGGGCACAGATCCCGGGCCCCTTTTAGCAAATTTGTTCTTGTACAAATCAGAATTTGAATTTTTGGATAAAAATACACAAAAATTGTATTCAACATGCAGATCATTAAATAACACCTTTCGCTACATTGATGATCTAATTACAATAAATTCTGATGATAAATTCAATCTGCACCAAATGTCCATATATCCATCACAACTGACGTT